TCTACTGTATAGGCAACTATATGTCAGTAAATGTGGAACAAGACTGAAAAAAAAAAAAATAGAAAAGATCAGCCATTTGCTTAAGAAGCCTTTCGAAGCATGCCCTGATTATCATAAACTCTTTTTTCTTGAAGGAGAGAAAAGACACTCTGTTTTGATCCAAAGCTACCAAATGCAGGCCCTGGAGTTAGATTGCCTCTCCCTTAGTTATGTAGGAAATCTGTGAAGATGATCTTTGTGGCTAGGCTTTCAACTGTTCGATGATTTTCGCTTTTATGCTAGTATGGATTTAAAAGTTTTAAACCTTTATATTGTCTTTCAGTTTTATTTTTTTTGTTAGCCACCTGGAGCACTTGTCAGAGCATGTAGGGTATAAATTAACTAAATACATATAAAAGCACACCTTTGTGTTCCACATACGGTAGAAAATCTTAGAAAATGAGAATGGTGGGCAGTTACGGCTGGTTTAGAGAAGGAAATGGATCCAGGGTGTAGGAAGAATAAATAGAGGCTGTGGCGGAGAGCATCCTTCCCAGTTTAGCAATTGGGTGTTTTCATAGTGCCCATAACAGTAGCCCTTTTGTGAGAAGACTACAATATGATATCAAAATTTCAAAAAGCTGCACTTCCTCCCTATGGAAATAGAGGAAGTGCTCTGGGCTTAGATTTAAATGTTTTCTTTATATGGCTCTTACTCCAAGACACCAAATCATATTCATTAAATGCAGGTACAATCTTCTTATAAATATACACAGACTCGGGCAATCTCTGTAGTATTATATATTCCTATGTAATGGAATGTGCATACATTGTTGTAAGAATTTTTCAACCAAATCCCAACAGTCTTTTGTCCATCAAAGAGCACTGCTTGCACTGAATGAATTCTTGAAAATCACTGCTTCTGTTGCTATTTCTAATTTCCTGCCACCGTGGAACAGGAGGGAGAATAACTTGGGATATTTCTGAGCAACCTCTTCCCTTGTTCTATACCATTAGAGTGGAAGCTCTAATTGTAACTCCCAGTATGCATGCTTCATTCTTTCCGAGATAACACTGAATGCAATAGAAAGCCCTACATGTTCCACTTCCCAACCACCTGCTGAGACAATATGTTTATAATTACCCCTTGAATGGTCATATAACGCTATCAAATGCTCCTGTGAGTCTGCCCTGTATTACGTTCTAACCCTTCCCTTGCAACCATCTGCCACAGCATTAGGAGCCCTTCAGCGCTCAGGCAAGGTGAAAATAGATAGTTTTGTGGTGACAAGTATGGACAAGAAAGAGAAATGTGGCCTGTGCCTCACTACAGCTCTCTACCTTCTGTTAAGCAGCCTCCCAACTTCCCCTTCCAGTTTCCTCAGACCCCATTTGACAGCAGAACAAGGTCTCTGGCATTTCTGAGAGCTCCCTCAGATGCTGCTTGTCACTTTAAGAATTCAGCACATCGGAAAGCAGTGCTGTATTACCAGAGTACAAGTCTATTATTCCACCCCTCTTCTTTCTGCTTTGCATACAGGACATTCATCTAAGTCCACAGCAGACAGGCAGATCTCATTTGCGAAAGCTGATGGGAAAATACACCAGTAGCAACAAGCTTTTATGATAAGGAGCATTTGGGGTTGTGAAATCTTCAGTTGCATTTTGCATGCAGGTGTCTGGATTCATTCCCCCAGTGTGTGTACATTTATTCAATTATATAAAAATTGCCAAAAACAGGACTGCTTCAGTAGACGTTTTTTTTATTGTGGATTGTAGGAATAATGTCCTATGATTGACTCCTTGTTTGAGCGGTTTCATGGTTAGTGGTTGGGTTGACAGAGCTGCTGTCGTGAAGAGACATGTTGGACTCGTTAAAACCATGTCTTGGAATGAGAGCTTAAGGAATTATGTGTTCAAGTTTTCCAAAAAAAAAAAAAAATTCAATATCCCACCAAACAAAAGGTAGCTTGGTGAGTGGGGAGTTACTTGGTTTGACCCATCTGTAAAAGAAGCACATAATGGTCTTCAGGTGCATTCTAAGCAGCCTTCCTTCTCTGGGTTATTTACTCATTTGTTTGTGTTAAAGGGAAAGCAGGTGCACATTAATTCATCAGAGTTTAAATCATTTCACTACTAAATGAGTCACTCATTTGCAGGCGAATTTAATTAGCACCTCTTCGAAGCCAGGTGGAATCTCTCTCCTGCCTTTCTCACCTGTTTGCATTCTTATGGACTTGTTAATGACAGCATAGTCAAGGACTTTGTCCACAGCAAGACAATTGGTGTAATGGCATTGATGGGAATTGGGAATGGATGGTTGATTTGTGCCACCTTTCCCTTTCTTTCCAACACATTGCAGCAATTTTAGTGTGACTTGATACGGAGGTGAGTTTTGTACTTGTATTCTAACCTTTCTGGGTTTGAAAAAAGCCTGTGAAATGGCTCTGAGGGACGTTATCACTTCTTACATACTTGAAAATAATGAAATTCAGTTATACTAGGTATTTTGAATGTAAGAATTTGTATGAGACGGAGTTACTTTTCTTAAGTGTCTGCAGAAGTTTTTTGACATTTAGGAAACAAGATGAAGTAACAAAGTTCTGAATTTGAACATATTATATAGTATATCCCAACTACTGAAATGTAGTTTGAGATATAATTGTGTTCATTAAGTTTATTTTAAACTGTCCATCATTCTTTATGTCAGATTTCAATGGCCTCCATTTTTTTGTGTTAATTTGGAGGTGTGAGATACCTGTCCAAGAGCAAAAGCTTTCTGTCAGAGATTTATTACAAATTGGGAACTTCCTTTTATGAGGAAACGCTGCCATTTTATTATAAGCTGAAAGTGACATGGGCAAAGAATATGTGCATTCAAGAGGTCTGTACTTTACATCATGTTGATTACCATAAAAAGGAATAGCATGATAGATATGTGAGTAATATAAAAAATTATATGATTTTTCATGGTCAGATTCACAATTTCACTATATTAGGGTAGGAGAGGTTTCTCCAATAATTCCATTTTTGCCACTGTTCATCTAACCATATCATGGCTGTTTATTTTCTCATCATGTTGGCTGAAAAAAAATGCGTTGTTACTCTAGTCTTCTTCCCCCCCACACCCCCTTTGAGGATTCGAAGAGTTAGAAAGAGACAACAGGGAAATATTGGCTGAATATAGAAGGATGACCTGGTTGAGCCTTCATAAAATTCTATGGATGAAATATAGCTTTTTCTATAAAAGTTTTATCTAGAACCACCCCTGGACCTGCCTCTGTCAGTTGAGAGATGTGCTTAATACGACTACAGACAGCTATAAAAATTTATCTGTCACTTTGCACTGCCTGCTTATTATATTGATAATAGTTTATTTTCTTCTTGCATTTCCCAAACCGTTTATTAGCCACGTTATTATGTCCTGTCCTTCCTACTGAAGTTGTGAAAATCCTTTTTATATATCCAATTGCTGTTCCTTGAAATGGAAATCCTTTACAATTGATGTGGAGATGTTCAATTTTTCTGGAAGGGCATCTTTAATATCTTGAACTTGGCCATCATTCTTTCTGTTGATACCGATACGTGTACTGTTTGTTAATAAAGCTTGGCGGTGCCATTTTGGAGGAACTTATAAGCTTTCATGTGTGTATGTTAAGGAAACATCAGGCCCTTAAAGAAGAAGAGATTTATCCCTATTTCTATCTTTAAGAACTTCAAAATTGGCCAGAGGCTTAGGCTTTGTAAAATGGAAATGAGAGCAGAAATCTCACAGAAACTTCCTTCTTACTTTACACAAGGGAACCCAAAGAATTGCACTGCCACAAAGTAGACACTTTGCCTTCAAATTTGGCCATGCAGTGTTAGAAGACTACAGATGATGCTGGGGAATTGTTTACAACCCCATGGACCTCCCTCAATATATTGGAAATAACCTAAATGTATACTATGGTAGTTGATTTTGTTACTTGGGGATCTACCTTAGTGTTTCTGTTGTCATTTCTTTGCTGTTTAGTTTCCTGGCATATAATCTTCTGGCTTATTGGAAAAATGACTGATACTTCTCTTTTATAATAGCTGAGATAAGCAAATAAGAGATTTGGTTCTGGTATAAATGTTGAACAGCAAATATTTGATTTAAGGACCTGGATTGCTGTTTCTTTGCTGGCAAGTTTTGCAAGAAATGATTTGTGGGGAAAGAATAGCAGTTGGGAGAGATGATTTATCCACTGAATAGTAGATTCCAAGATGCTTATTCCAGGATGAATATTGAATGTTTGCCATACCAAGTTAGGTAAAGCTATAAGAGAGGTTGCAAGCTAGCAGTTCATTTTCCATGTATGCATAAATACATATACACAAACAATCCATTTTTGTGTTCACTGATCTGTATTCCTAAATTCAATCATCACATCCTCATTTCATTCCTGATATATTCTTATCTATGTATATCTATATGTGTGTGTGTCCTGTGTGCATACACGCTTCGACTCTTAATTCTCTTTTTTAAAAAAATATTTGGAAAATTAGCCTTTAGGCATCAAAAAGTGCTAATTGTACTATATTTTCAGCTATATTCCATATGAAAATTTACTGATATGAGACAATAGCCAGCAATTCATACCACATCTGTGTTCAGGGTTTAGATGTAAGAGAATTCTATCATGTGATAGAAACACTAATTGTTGTATTTAACTGGCAAAGGGCCTTTTCTTAAAATTACTGTTGTTTATTTTCTCTAACATAAATGAAAGTTGTAATAAGATTGAATGTCCCACCAGGCAAATAAATTCTCTAATCATCAATCACATAACACATATGAAACTTATGTTTACTCAGTGTATTATTCTATACTGTTTCAACATTGAGAAAACGTATAAGAGTTGGAAAAGGAATAAATATGCTGCATATATGAGTGGGAATATGTGTGTGTGTGTGTGTGTGAGAGAGAGAGAGAGAGAGAGAGAGGAGAAAAGACACTTAGTCTTCTATTTTTATTTTTTTCATCATTTATCTTGTAGTCCATTGATCCTGGGCAACAGTTCACCTGGGAGAACTCCAACTTGGAAGTGAACAAACCAAAGAATCGCTATGCAAATGTGATTGCCTATGATCACTCTCGAGTCATCTTGACCTCCATTGATGGTAAGATTATTAACAGCTACTTTCATTAATAAACTGCAGCATCAGACAAGAGGTTTTGAAGTTTCTGCAGGGTAGTGTGGAATCAATTATAATCTGCCCAACTTTGATTACAAAATATAAGATAGCAATAAGGCTGCAACACTGTCAAGAATCTAGATTGATCAGCTGATGCAGCTGAATGAATGGGCGCTAGGACTCCATAATCCATACTTTTTGATAATTACTAATCACATTTCACAATACTCAACGTCATACTTATACCTGAAAAACTTACATGAGGCTGAAAAAAGTGCATATATACTATAGAAAGAGTGCTTTTCTCATACATTCTCTAACACTTGCGTTATTTTATTGCAAAATTGTGATCTTCATGGAAAATGTGCTCAAAAACCAACTCTGCCCTTATTTGAAAGAGCTATTTATTCATTTCTTCCAGATGGATTTCTAGAAATATTGTTGTTTAAGAGACTTAGGTTGCACAGTTGTCCTAACTAATAACTAATAATAACTAATAACTAATTTTTGATTTTATGCTGTTACATTAACAAGGCACAAAAATAATGGTATAAATCTTTCTTTGGCCATGAGTGCCTCCGGAATGAGTGAGGATATGTGTCCTATTCCACACTATTTCCTTCTTATATAATGTCAATTTGCATTCTGTCAAGAGCTACTTGCTTCCTTATTTACTGCATTTATACACTGCTGCACTCCTATAGGAGTCCTGTAAGATAATATACATTAAAATCAATCCAAACACCACAAATAAAATTAAAATCAAATGTTAACACCAGCATCCTTATAATCTTTTCTCTTTTCTCTGAATGGGTCAGGATTCTGGCTGTCAATTTCCTTTCTCACATGCCCGTAGACTCATTCCCTTTTTTTGTCATGCAGGGGTCCCTGGAAGTGACTATATCAATGCCAACTACATTGATGGCTACCGCAAACAGAACGCTTACATTGCTACACAGGGGCCACTGCCTGAGACACTCAGTGACTTCTGGAGAATGGTATGGGAGCAACGTACAGCAACAATCGTCATGATGACACGACTGGAGGAAAAGTCTCGGGTATGAACAAACTTAGTCTCTCCCACTGACCATAAGAGCTTCAGGGAGTTGTAGTCTGAGTTGCTACTGGGTATGCAGTGCTATCATGAATACTAGCAGCTTTATTATATTAGGACTCTAATGGCAAATCTTTGGTAAAACCACAACTGTACAACATTGCAGGAAAAATGGGGGGTGGGTGGGAATAATGTATGGTACCAACATGTCCATCATGGAATTTCCATCTAGTTCTTGAGTGAATGATTTATAAGTAGTTTTATGAGATTAATTTGTCATCTATGCTATGTCTAATTCCTAATCTGAACGGCCAGGGTAAGATTCTTATTTATGGAATACCATATAAGTGATAGAATCACAACATGAATAATTGGGAGAATTAATGGTCTGAGTTCATCTCACTCGTTATGAAATTCAAAAGCATTCAAAGGAGAGGAAGGAAATATATCTAGAGTAGTAAATTCCACACTTTGGGCATAATTGACTCCATACACTGGGAAGCAAATCATTAGAGCAGGGTTGTGTGTATCAGTTATATATAATCTATATTTGGAAATGTGTGGTAGAGAGAAGCAATCTCCATGTATAAGCCATTCTGCAGATGTCTTCCACTGTGCCTGGCACCCAAAAATTATAGCCATATTAAATTCTGACTTCCGTGCACAGTTTGAATGTGTAAAAAGGATTTATTTGCCTTAAGGCCTTTGAATGGAAGACGCCTATGTTTCAGAATATCCTTGCAAAACATGGAGCTCAATTGGAGATCCTGGGCAGAGAGTTCTTCAGAAGATAGTATCTCTTGTAATGAGCACAGAATACATTATGTTTCCATGCCAACCACAGGACTGTGGTGCACTCATTTCTTTAGTCAAATACATTTGAGTAAGGCAATAGAGATAGGGAATATTCAGGGAACAGCTAAATAAAGGCGGGGAATATATGTGGAAGGAGAGCAATGCATGCAACCATATATCCTAAGCTTTGCTGAATTAATGCTAAAAGGAGAATGCCACTTCGTGTCACAAAAATACTACGGAACTGCAAAGAGTACATTGGGAAGAGCCTGTATTTCTATCTCAGGCTGAAAAAGTGTTTGTCCTGATGAACAGCAAACACTGCTCAAGAGAATATATTTTGGGGTGTCATGACTAGTGCCCATTTATTGGTCAGTTCCTTTGTGTGTTAATATACCCTAATTTTAAAAAGAATTTGTACATGTTGCATCATAAAATTCTAATGCGGGTGTTGTAATAAGTTAGCTATACATTTTTGAAAAAATGTTTTAAATTGACTTTAGTATATAAATGCATAACTATCATCTTTAATAGGTAACGTCAAGCTTTCAGTGAATTTTTTTTTCTAATCGGTCCTGGTCTCTCACTCACAATCTCATAAATCTCTCCCTTTTCAGTAATCTTTTGTTCCAAGCTAAATACTCCTATTTTTAAAGCTTTATTCAACTAAAGATAGTCTATATATGCTGTTGTTTTTCTACTCATCTTTTATGCATGTTCTGCAGTGGTACCCTTTGCTGTTTTAAGGTGGGGCAAGCAGAATGATATGCAGTCATCCAGAACACAACCGTGTGTATGGTGAAGATGAAAGGGGTGGGAAGAGAGAAAGCATTGTAATAAGCCTATTCTAGCAAAACAATGGCAAGAAATATTAAAACATAAAAAAATAAGGCCCCATTTCTTAATGTGACATCTGATTGTGCTTTAAACATATCAAAATGCTGATAGCTTTGTGTCTTAAAGAGTTTGAGTGTGAAGTAAATGCCCCACAAGCTCCAGTAATTTAAGCATTTCCATTGCTGCTGCTAATTGCATTTAAGCAGTAGCCATATTATTTGCTTGCACTTTATTAATTAGGCTTTGTTAGTTTAGAAGAGTGTTTAGAATGTTTGCAGATGAATTAAAAGAGAAATAGTCCCCTCCCCTCCTTTGGCATGTGTCAGACTACGTGAATATCCAAAGTCCAGCCAGTTTGTTTGGGGGCTGCCCAGCTATCAGAAGATGCCCCATAGAGTGTGTTTCTCCAAGATAACATGTTTTGTAAGGCCCTTTGGGCACCTGTCTCTGCTTCCTGCCTTGTTGCTGTTGAAATGCACATTATCTTCCGGTAGCACATTTCCTACCCTTCGCTCTCCTAATTACTTCCTCGGAGATGGAGGATGCAGTAGCACCCTTCAGGTGACACACTCCACCAAGTTAGCCTGCCCACCCACTCAGCCAAGTATAGTGGGGGGAGAGTGCTTACCCATATGTTCCTCTGCACTTAATGGAGTTCACACCAGTACTCATTAGAGGTCTGCTTGCCTTTGCCAGCAGTTCCAGATACAATACGGTTCCCATAGAACAGAAACTCCCACCTAGGGGACTCTGTCTTTGAGGAATCATAATAGCCTTAGAATGGAATCAGTCGAAGAGGCACTGAAGAGCTAGAAGCAAAGCATGAACTAAAAGCCTCATCCCTGCCCCTGGGAGCTTTCTAATGAGAGGATGCACATTTAAACAACTTCTGAGCATCTTTTCAGTGCTCATTCAAGCTTGACCCTTTTCTTTTCTCCAAGCATGAGGGCTTCTTCCCAATCCAGGAGTTTTGAAAGCTGTTTCAGATAAATGCTAACAGGTGCAGCCATTCTCAGTCCTGGTAATGCTTTTTCCTTGAATTGTTGAGCTTCAAATATTTTCCACACCTTGTGAAATAGCAACAGTCCTGGAAAAAGATCTGTGAGCTGCTTGCTATTCATGACTTGAAAATCCTAGCATGATGGGATAGGGGCATCATTTTTAGTTATCATGTATACTACATAAGAGCTGCAAAGAGCAGATACCTTTTTACATCCAATGCCTTTGCAGTTGGCAACCAAATCAGCATATATGCCATCTCTAAGGCTTTTTTGAATGCAAAATTAATCCAGGCTATCTTTCATCGCTGTCTCTCTTCCAGTTTCGATATCATTTAATAAATACAAAGTCCAAATAAATTAGATTTTCCCGATTTGCAGACTGCAAGCTTTAGAATGAATCTAGGTAGAGTTGTGAATCAAACTAGCTCTTCTCCCATTGTTAAAACTCTGTATGGAAGCCTCCTTATTCTCCCAGCAACTGAGGGACCACTGGGCTGCTAGCTGTAAATGAATTTCCAGGTTGTGAGCGTTCCTGACATTAATGAGAAGTGAGCAGTGCCAGAAGAAAGGCTCTCTTATCTGGTTTAGTGCCATCCTGCATCAGCTTCAGCATAAAATTTACAGAGCTTGAAAATGGGGCATAAACATTATGGGTAAATTTGGCAGAAAATGTGAGTGACTCTTATCTGGTCATGAATAAATAATTTTCAATTACCAGCTAGGGCGTTCTATTAAACCCTGGGATAGATTACTTCAAAGTTTGTTTTATGCTTGTATATTCACAGTAATACAATTTCCCTGGAGAAAGAGTGGAAAAGAAGGCCCTTGCTCAAATGATTGCTTTGGGCTTCATGTTATATCCTTACATATGTAAAAAGCTCTTCACCGTCCAGGCTGAACATAGAATTCCAGATAACCACAGAAAACAAGGTGTTCTAAGTTCTAGGATGCCCTTTCATTTTTCATCCAGGATGAAATTACAAGGCTCCCTCTTTAAAAATGTTGACTATTAAAAAGCAGAACATCATTGATTCCCAATTAGTGTGTTGTTAACTTTCTTCACATGCCCTGTATAATTATATTTACTGTTTCTTGATCAGAGTATTTTATCCTATTTTAATCAAATATTGATTCATGTCATGTACTTGAGCTATTTCTGAATGTTATGTCTGTGTTCTTGACTTAAAAATGTGTAAATGGACAAGACAGAGAGAGATCTAGAAAAATAGAAAGCACAGGGCAAGATATGTTTGGGAAAATTTTAGCATGCATGAATGTTTTGAAATATGACAGTTGAACACAGAGAAATACAGTCCATATTTTGCTACTTCCACCTGACCTGGAATGGGTTGTGCATACAAGAGCCTACTGCTGCTAGTTCTTCTCATTAGAAAAGACAGAGATATAGACAAGCAAATCCATAGTTGTGTTACAAGCAAAAAACATGCTGCTAGTTCCAGCTTAGTCTTTGCTGATAGTTCCAGCTTTGACTATCAGTAATTGGAGGTGTGGAGGTATGAATGAAAAACAGAGTAAAATGGGCACTATAGCCCGATTAGTTTCCTATTTTTTGGCCCTTCCCAACTAAGGAGACTAATGACCTCAGCCAAAAGTAGCCTTTTCGGTTATCCCTTGAAGGAACTTCTCCCTGTGTACACACAGACCAGACATACACTGGGCTTGTAGGAAAGGTAGCAAATCCATTCCACTCCTGAGCTTGTTGTTCTTGCTCACCTTCTTAAGTTTTCCTCGGTCAGGCTCTCTTGCTGTGAGTCACTTTTACACACCTGCAGTGTCTGGCCCATGTAAAGCACTGCCCTTCCTCTCACAACTGATACCTAGGGGAAAAAAGGCTGGCTACCTTATGCTAGGAACCTGAGCAGAATCCCAAGGAGAGGATTACAGGTTGGATACGGGCTTCCCATATTCACCCTGAGAAGAGGATAAATGAGTATGCTTGTCTACAGATACCAATCTTTCCAAAGAGCAGGGAAAGGACAGAAAATTATATGGAAAGAAATTGCTTTTGAATTGACTATTTCTCTCTGTTTCTTTCTTTTATAGCTATTAGCATCCTTGCTTCTTAGCCCTGCCTCTGAACATCAAATATCTTTCTTTGCTCCCTGCCTGGCCATTTAGCCATATTGGTCTTATAAAATGAAGTGTGAGATATGACAGAAAGTATTCAATTTCTCTGTGTGTCTTGGCCAAATGCAATTTGGGTGTTTTGTGTTTCTGTATTTTATTCCCAAATATGTCTTCTTCTGTCAATCAATAAATTCTAGTAAATACAGGTAACATTTGAGAATTACAACAGGAGAAACGTATCTATGTTATGGAACCCAATGATAGCTACATTCCAGGGATTATCCATTAATTTGGTAGTTTTATTGCAGGTGAAATGTGATCAGTACTGGCCAGGACGTGGTACAGAGACCTATGGGTTAATCCAAGTGACTTTGCTGGATACGGTTGAACTTGCAACTTATACAGTCCGAACATTTGCCCTGTACAAGGTACTGGAAAAAGGGGGGAAATGAGTTATAATGGATGGATTTTTAAGAAAGAAGAGAAGGAATTACACATTTATAACTAAGTGCAGTATAGATTTAAAATAACATGCTACAATCAATTATAGCATCGTAAAATAAAATAAGTAAAGTGGCCCATGACATATAGTAAGAATTCATTAATAAAAAGGCTGATAAATAGAAATCCCAGCCCCATAGACAGTGTAGTCTTCCTTACTTCCCAAAGACATATTCATCATTTTTGTGTCGAATCAGTTTGAAAAAAGAATGGAACTGGACAACCCAATATCTTGTAAAAACTGTGAGTCTTTATAGATACATGCATCATATGACTGTAAAGGCTTTTACAGCGGCATGAATTTCAAGTCTGAAAAGCAAGCCAAGTATGTTAACATATATTGTACAGGTCTCTTTCATTCACTGAAATTGAGACCAGCAACTCCATCACTAAATGATACAGCCATAAAGTGAAACATCATATGACCATGCTTAGGTCCAGTGGTGGGAGTTCGCAGCCAGTTCGCACCACTTCGGGAGAACCGGTTGTTAACTTTCTGAGCAGTTTGGTGAACTGGTTGTTGGAAGAAATCACTAGGGCAGAGAACCAGTTGTTAAATTATTTGAATCCCACCACTGGTTAGGTCAGTTCCTGCTGCTCATTGCAGTTAAGCATACTATGTGACTGCTACTTCCTGCCAGCTACCCCATTGACTTTGCATGTTGGGAACTGGCTTAAAGGTCTCAAATGGTGATCATGTGACCACAGATTGCTATGACAATGATAAATATGCCAGTTGCTGAACATCCGACTCACAGTCAAGAGATTGTGGGTATGCTTCAACAGCCAGAAGTGTAAAGACTGGTCATAAATTTCTTTCTTCAGCATAGTAGTAACTGCAAATGGTCACTAACATCCATCGATAAGTGAGGACTATCTGTAATTAAATATGTATATAGCCTGAGGAATATTGTTTTGAAATATTTAAAAGTAGTTCCTCAGATATTGTAAGTCTTACTAGATAGACCAAGAAATCAAATTCTACTGGAAGTCTTAAACTATTTTTAATGAGATTGGCTATAATAACAATCTTATAAATCTGATAATGCTATACTTTGTCCTATTTACGCTTCAGTGAATTAGGAAGTCATGTGCTTGAGCTATTTCTGAATGTTATGTCTGTGGTCTTGACTTCAAAAATGTTTTAGGCCCTTTTGCCTTAGTAACAATTGCTGCACACCACTGTTAAGACCATCTTCCTTTACTGTCTGTATATATGGTCTTCAGAATTGCATAAGTATTCATATTACAGGCACTAGAAAATTCATTGAACAACAAATCACAGCAAGGATATACAAGAATATTTGTTTAAAAAAATAGAACTAAATGATACAGAAAATAAGCATGTAGTAAAAGAGAAGATGTGCAATCATCTGGCATGTTGAAAAGACCTTAGTACTCTATGGTACATGAGTGCCAAATCAAGGAATTCATCTGTTGCCCATTAATTCCAGCTAAAGTATTTCGGCTTTATCTGCAGAACGGCTCCAGTGAAAAACGGGAACTGCGACAGTTTCAGTTTATGGCGTGGCCTGACCATGGTGTGCCAGAATATCCTACTCCAATTTTAGCATTCTTGAGACGAGTAAAAGCATGCAATCCTTCAGATGCTGGCCCAGTGGTTGTACATTGCAGGTACGGCTGATTCCTACACATGTAAATCTATGATATTAGATAACTATCAAATAATACAATGGGGGGAAACTATAAATCTCTGTATTTTGGCAATGCTGTATACTTGGGGATTTTACAGGCAACCTACTGCTACAGCAAGAATAGCATTAGCATTGTAATTCCCCTGCTAATATATACAACTATATATTCAACTATATATTTTATAGTCAAAAGTTTTTGACCCAATGTTTTCTTTAAAAAAAACACATTATTAGAAACAATTAAGTATTAATATTGGAACTTTGGAATAAAATTCTACATATGCATCCAGTAGCACTAGACCATCTCACTGAACTTATATACATGTGAATCTTCACAAAACATGCCATTATTACTATTACTGTGCCTCTTCTATTTTTCATTTAAAATTGAAACATGAAAACAAATAGAAACCTCACTAAAACAATAAGATGAAATATCCCAAAAGCGGACATGCACATGGTGGTAAAATGATAATGACAACAGAAAAGCCTATTGGCATCGCTTTGCATGTACGTAAAAGCACAAAACTGTGGGCATTATCTAAGTATACACGTACACACTATTTGCATGCATAGTGATAAATTCTTATGCTGCAGTTTGGAGCTAAAAAAAAAAGTGCTTCAGCCATAAACTTTAGTTCACTAGGAATTGGCATCTTATCCAGCCAGTGATTTATCTCTTGCAGCTGAGTGGGAACTATTACTGAACAAACCTCTTCATCATTGCAGCTTTCACAAACTCCTTAGAAACAGTATTTAATGTTCTCTCTTCATGCTCTGGTTCAGATGGGAGTCATGTATAATTAACAGATACTCTCTCCCTATTAAAATCCTGTAAAGAATTGCACACGGGCAGCTGCAAGGAAATGTCCTACTGCAGAATTCTTTCCTGTCAGATACCGTATCTGTTGCTTGTTGATGGGTTGTCAGTTGTTTATCCCATAAGGACTGCCATCACTAAGTAAGATAAGGTTACACTGGCCTTCCACAGTAAAGATGCTTATGTAAAATAGGACATAGAATTGCTCAGAGGTTCAGCATCCTAGCAGGTTCTATTTTATTTCCAAAGGTCAATCTGTTTCCTATAAGAACTTCTAATAATACCTAAAATGTAAAGGTGACCTTGAAAATAAGCTATTCTTGCATCCTACTAGGCAAAGATTCAGTATATCTAGAGCATTGCCACTGAGCAGAGCCCAATTTCATGCTTTATGCCTCGCTTTTACAGTGCTGGTGTAGGCAGAACAGGCTGCTTCATTGTAATTGATGCCATGCTTGAGAGGATGAAGCATGAAAAGACAGTGGACATCTATGGGCATGTGACATGCATGCGCTCACAAAGAAACTATATGGTGCAGACTGAGGATCAATACATCTTCATCCACGAAGCCTTGCTAGAAGCAGCCACTTGTGGAAACACCGAGGTGCCTGCCCGCAATCTCTTTGCCCATATCCAGAAACTGAGTCAGGTACCTCCAGGTGAGAGTGTCACAGCAATGGAACTAGAGTTTAAGGTGAGTAAAAGATTATTTGCAATGTGTACCTGTGCATGTAAAATCTATAGAGCAACTATAGGATTAGATAAGTTGCTTGTTTGTCATTTCTCACTGACAATTTATTCCTGGATTGAAGGAAGATAGTTTTCTAAGGGTAATGTTCCTTTGGTATATTACACTTGTAGAAAGTGTTAAAATACATTTAGATGCAGAGTAGTGCGCATTCAACATATCTGTCCTGTCCTGATAAACTTCTAGAAAAGTATATAGGAAGGCAGATTAAAATGAAGTTCTGGGCGTCACTAGCAGCTGGAGCTATATCCAGAACCCAGTGGAAATTGGGGTATTCATGATGTCACTAAGAAAAGCTTATTTGGACATACTTTTTACTTTAAGCCCTTGAGAAATCAAGCAATTCCGATGCCTCTTGCCTTCGTGGTCAGGGCTTGTCAGCATTTTTTGCATCTGTAGTAGTTTCATACCAGTATTCATGACAGCTTTGATAATAGTTAAGAGCTCTATTAATTCTCTTAATATGTGTATTTGCTTAGAAAAGACTATAGATACAAATAGTTTTTTATAGTCAACAAAATTATTTATTGTGCAAGCAGCAGAAGGCAAAATCAGTGCAGAAGTCTGAACTTGGTTCTCCTAACCCTACTCCATTTACTCATCCTCTGTTTCTGGGCTTAGTCCTTTCTATAGCCAGAGGAAGACGTGAATGGATGATGGCTAACAACGGTTCTTGGTTTTTTTTCCTATAAAAGCTAGTCCTACGAAAGGTTAGCAGGAGCAAGCGCCATCAGAACAGTTGGGTGTCTGATTCTGCTTTAATGAGAGTTAGGAGACGGGTGCAAGATTCAGCAAAGTCTCTTCTTCCTTCCATTACTACCATTCCCAGAGAGCAGAAAGGGACAGAGCAAGGCAAGAGAGTCACCAATACTCATTTTTATAACATTTCCCTTTCTAATTATGATAAGTATTTATTTTAATGTCAGTCTACCATTTCTAAGTGACTCCTGCTATTAGCAGTTAGCAATGATAAGAGCAGGAACATAAATCCAGGGACTTGACAGTAGATTTCAACAACTGCCAGAAATACAAATACCACCCTTAACCTCTAAAAGTGACTTAGTCTTCGGCTCAAGAATCACAGATGGATGGAGGAGAATGCTTCTAAAATCTAATCCAAAATCTCAAGTTTGACTTTGCATTAGGTAAAAAGCAAAAGAATTTCTCTTGCCTGCTTTCCAGGCATTTCCTTTGTGATGGAGCACATGAGTAGTTTTCTGGCAAATAAACTTCCACAGAACTAAGAGCAGGAGCAGCCAGGCATATGGATATTCATATATCTTCCTGTACCTGGGTAAGGATTGGGAAACCTTTAAAAATAATGGATAGGAGGCTTTGGGCTGTTTGGAAGACATTGCGCAATTAGTGTCAGACCATATTGCCGAATAACAATATTGTGCAGTGCTGATACATATGTAGATCAAATTTGGGCCTGTTTTCATGATTTTTTAGATGAGCAAGATGTGTTGAGGTGCTCATCTAAAAAATATAAAGTGGGAATGCGATGGTTATGCTTTCCAGTCTTAATGGTACAGTGGCTCAGCAACAAATTCTTAGCAGCTTTCCAGTATGAGCAAGAATATTCTCCTTGATGGAATTCATGCTAGTGATTCTTACCTAAACAAGTTCTATCATCTCTGCAGATAATCTTTTTTTCTGTATTAAATGTGAAAAATTGTACCTGATGTTGAGAGACCTGTTGCTCCTGGAGTGTTGCATCTGATTTCTCCTGCCAATTTGTCACTTCTCTTCACAGCTCCTCGCCAATTCCAAAGCACATACCTCACGATTCATCAGTGCCAATCTTCCATGCAACAAATTCAAAAACCGCCTAGTGAATATCATGCCCTATGAGCTGACACGGGTTTGCCTGCAGCCAATCCGGGGTGTTGAAGGCTCAGATTATATCAATGCTAGTTTTGTAGATGGTTACAGGTAAAGTATGCCGTCCTGTTCAAAGTCTGAATCTCTTTTGTGATGTTCACTCTTGCTTCTTTAATTTGGACACTTCTGTCAAGCAATGCTGAGAGAAGAACAACATGCATAATCAGTCAGGTTCATGGCACATATATTAAACTACTTTTTCTTAGTGGTTTTGCTCTTCTTACCTTCTCCGTTCAAGCTTTATTATCTAATTAACTGAGAAATACTGGTTTCAGCATTCTTCGTTTTCCTGTAGTCAACACACTGTAGACAGCTTACTACATAATTCATTCTCCAATATATGCACATCTTACTTGTCAGATCTCCTTCCAGCAGTGCAATACAAGCAGATGAGCCCCTTCCTACCACTTGAAAGATTTGATGCAGAGCATGTGGCCCAAGGAAAAAATCAGGCTGCAGAGCAGTTTACCTACAGTAGTGAATTCAGAGATATTTCATGGGATAATCATTTCTGCGTAAGGGGAAGAAGCGCTGACCTTTATTTTATTATCTCCCTCCCCCACCCCTTCCCGATATCTGACGGGCTGCAAAAGCAGAAATGAATTGGCAATATGAAGGTTGACTTAAAAAAAGACATGGTGGGCAGAGAGCTAGGAACATGAAAGAAGTTTCCACCCCAGTAGAGTGGAAACTTCAGCAGACCTCTGGGCTGTGCTAAAGTTAGAAATGTAGAAGAGTTACTGAAGATGACTCAGCTTCATATCCTGCCAATAATCCTATGAGCTGCCACCTTATTTTTATTTATTTATTTATTTATTAAATTTATATGCCCCCCCCCCCCCACCAATAAAGCAACCGTAGGTAGTGTGATACACTTTAATGTATATAGTACTAAAATAGGCTACTATTGAGAGAGGACTATTGAGTGCCTGCCAAACTGGAGGAGATAGCATTTCATGTCTTACCTAAACTGTCCCTGAGGGCTCCCATTTATCTCTTCTCATCTTTCTATTTGAAGTGAGCAATCATTCTCCACCTTATCAAAAGGGATCAACTGGCCCAAGGTGCATTTTTATTTGTTTCTTCTCCCCTCACCCACGCTGTGCTCTCACCTTTTACGATGTCTTATAAATCCACTATGGAGCAGCTTGCATCTCTGTCCCGCATCATTACAGCTGTCCTATACCAGATTCATTAATTTTTAGCGCCACTGGAGAGATCAAATGAGGAGCCTAAGGTTATATACGAGGATCTGTAGTGCCCCATAGTGGTAAAATAAAAGTATCACAACCTCAGTTATAGATTTGGCTGGATTTGCATTCTTTCTTAATGTCACAATGGAATCTAGACCTTTATCCCTGACCTCACAAGACTTAGATTTTGGGATGCTTTAACAGGGAATTCCATGTTATGCATGCAGATGTTCCATGATTTCTAGTTTTGCTGAATCTAGATGTTGTGATGTTAGATCTTCAACTATGTGACTGAAATTTTGGCAGCATGATTTCACCAAATTAATAGTACAGGTTTCCTGCCATTTTGAAGAAATAAATGGAAATAATTACAATATAAGCCCTAAAATATTTAGCAAACTGTCAAACACTGCCCAAACCTGACCTAGTTGTATGTTACAGTCTCCTTCCCATGCCAGAAGTGCCAGAGTTGGTCACTAATCTGAACTCTTTGATATCTTGCAGACAACAGAAGGCTTACATCGCCACACAGGGACCTTTGGCTGAGACTACAGAGGATTTCTGGCGAATGCTGTGGGAACACAACTCCACCATTGTAGTGATGCTGACAAAACTGCGAGAAATGGGGCGGGTTAGTAAGCATCCTATGTTCTATAGGGAGATTTGTACTACAAAACCTAATCTTGCATAAAGAGATTCCGGATTTATTTATTATTACTAATGTAATGAATTTATATGGCTTCCCAACTTATACACAGGAACCCTGAGTGGCTTGCAACATTAAAACTCTGCTATATAAAACCATAAAACCCAACTCATCCTCCATGGCAGCAGGAACACAAATAAACCACTTGATTGGCTCCATCCAGAGGTGTGATTCAACCGGTGTAACAACCGGTTCGGTGCATTTGCTACTGAACTTCTTCAGCAATCCTTGCGTGTTAAACAGCTGATGCACGGCAATCCGCTGTGCCACGCAAATCAGCTGAACTTGAAAAGCAGGATATAAAGCACAGCCTAGAGCCCTGGCAAGCGGGCAGACCCAACAGCTGATCGTCAGAGCAAGCCGAACTGGTTTGCCCCCAGCTGATCCTCTTGAGCTACTAGTTCACCTGAACTGGAACGAACTGGTAGAATCCCACCCCTGATTCCATCTCCATTCAGGATCCCCAGGCCTAGTGATAAAACCACATCTTCAGATGCCTTTTGAAAAAGCAGCAAGATGGGGGCCAATTATACCTCTATCGGAATTATGTTCCATAAGGAAGGAGCCACTAATGAGAAGGCCCTTATTCATAGTCCCACCAGTTGTACATCCCTAATAAATGGGATCTGCAACATACCCTGCCTTACAGTCCTGTTCGATTCATGGACAGGTAATTCAGCTGAAAATGCTTTCCCTCATCAGAACTGAGGACAGGTGAATCAATAAAAGGTAGAGAATGTGACACAGAGGCTTCAGGGCTGATATTCTGCTGGGAGGGCTGATAGATTCTGCTGGGGCCCCACTCATGGCTGGGTGTCCAAAAGATCTGTCCCCTGAAATCATCTGAGAAAGCAATCTCTCATCCAGCATTTCTCAGGGCTGGCCTCACCTTGTGGACATTGCCTCAAGTACTAAATCTTGAAGAAGGGAGACCTTACTATTGTGCAAAGTAAATAAAACCAACCAAATTATGCCTGTTATTGACGCATAGTTACTAAGGGAGCATAAACTAGTAGATAGGAGGAGAAGGTGAGTGGAAATAGTACTAAGCATTAGGAGCTGCTGGAAAGCTGCTGTCAGGACTCCACCATGCACCCCCATTCAAATTATAAGTTTCTAGCCGCAAAGGAGTATCTTTTTAGTTGACAGCCTCTAGTACTTATCTAACACATTCTCCATGAGCCTGGATTGATTTAACACCACTTTGTGAGGGATCCTCTTGTGAAACTCCTACTTCTCCAAATTCACTTGAAGAAAACAGGCAGTCAACTTGATCACAAACAAAAGACAAAATAATACTAGGAGCCACTTAGTCCCTTAGGATGGTGGTATGTTCTCTTGTCAGCTTCTGCTATCACTCTATTTGTTGCGTTACATTGAGCATTGAGAGCCTCCAAAGCTGGCAGAGAAAAGTGGCTATAACCTATATCATAAAAGAAAGACAATATCCCTTTTAGGCAGCATTCAGAAAAAGCAAACAAATAGAGGAGGTTTTGTATTTAAGCAGAAATGAGTTCTTCTCAGACACACAGAAAAGTGTGGGATGCCTGATCTTCTAGTTAGTCAGGATACTCTTGACTTAGAGCTAGTACTCTGTCAGTGTCTCCATCTCAAATGGGTATTAGCCATACACATTACTGAAAAAAATATTGATCAGAGAAAAATGTGGTTGAGTTGCAAAAGCTGCTTTTTAAGTTCTTCAATTCTCTAAGTTTGTATGACCCAGGACTGTTGATTCAGTGGTTTGGAGAACTTCCTTGTACTACATAGATCACAATAAGCTCCCAGCCACAATGAATTCAGAAGTTTTTCATCTAACACATTATAGGCATGAAATCCCCAGGGATTACAAAGTGGAAAAACCATGGCTTACATGTTGCCTTTATGGTAAATTCTTCTAAAGTTCAAGTACACTCGGTTCTAGAGGAATAAAGAACTGCAAAAATGTGCCATGCCATGTGTGAAGGCATCAAATCATGAATGTCCCATAAGCTTGACCAAGATTAAAGGCCGCCACAGATGAACAGCATCAAGAGAAGACTGAATCAGTCTCATTCCTGACAAAACATTCTCAAAACATTCTGTTAACCATTATTGTAAGATTGTTGGCTAACTCACTTTTGAGTGTTTCTGCAGTTCAGCTATATGTGCCAAAAACTGGAAACTTCCTTAAAACTGTAGACACAACAGTTGAATTTGATGCTGTGGATTAGGAGTATCTAAGAGTCATAACCAAAGAAATCTATGCATAGCACTGTCTTGGAAAACAATTTTAAATGAGGTCATAGTTCCTGGCAGGAAAAGTCAAACAGAAGATTGTGACAGATCTAAAGTCAAGAAAATATTGCTGATATGCCAGAGAGCACACTTGACACCAGCCATATGGAAGAAAGGACTCCAGTGGTACATTTTGTAACAACAGAAACTCATGAGCATTTCCCCGCAAATAATGACTCTCAGTCTAGCAATTTTTTTAGAATTTATTTGAGCAAGTGGGTATGACAATCATGTTTCTTAAACATATAGAAAAATAAGAGTATTGCAATAGAGAATGTGAAAGTTTAGGACAATACTGGTGCCAGCATGAATAGAAATAACAGAGGAGGGAAATACAGATTTGAGAGTTAAACCTTCAAGCTATTTTGTTCATTGTAGTTCTCATTCATTGAATTTTTCTGGTCAGTGATTAATTGGTCAGATTAATACCTAAGGCATCTGAGGCATCTGAATTTTTAAATGTAAAATGTGATTTTTCTCGTATCATTGATGGAAAGTTTTAAAGCCTGAAAACACCCTTTCTGACACTAGAGGACCACACAATGAGAAGGTTCAGTTGAAGCAGTAAAGCCTATCAAACTTTGAACTGGAAAGATAAATGAGAGTACAACCTGATTGCTTATTGGAAAGTGTTGGGGGGGGGTGTATTCAAGGTGAAACTCATCAGTCATTTCCAGCCAGAAGGGAGGAGCCATTTATTAAGAAAATTCTTATTTTGTCATTTTTGAATACAATAACTTTCATGCAAATAGTACTATATTGTTTGTCACTAATGAATTTTATCTTTTTTTCCTTTTCAGGAAAAATGCCACCAGTACTGGCCAGCAGAACGCTCTGCTCGGTACCAGTACTTTGTAGTGGATCCCATGGCTGAATATAACATGCCTCAATATATCCTTCGTGAGTTTAAGGTCACTGATGCTAGAGTGAGTATTAGACACCATATTCTGAATCCCCCAATGTTGTTTCCACCAGAAATTGCAGCTCCCTGGTACAGAAGGACATTTATCATCAGGCATTGCTTTATTGTCCTAACAGCCAGTGACATTTTGGGATAAAACAATGTAGCTAATATGCTCAGATTTAACTTACTCCACTCAGTCTTTCCAGGAACTAGTAAGCAACACCGTAAGATGAAAGCAGGGTGCAGTGATTTATTCTCTTTTCCACAACTAGGATGGGCAATCAAGAACTATCCGGCAATTCCAGTTCACTGACTGGCCGGAGCAGGGAGTACCAAAAACAGGTGAAGGCTTTATTGACTTCATTGGCCAAGTACATAAAACTAAGGAACAGTTTGGCCAGGATGGGCCCATCACAGTACACTGCAGGTGAGTTTGGGCATTAAGCTACCTGTGAAAGCTCGTTTAGGAATAGGCTAATGGTGAGGTAAATAAGTTTGCCAGGAAAACTAGAGAGCTTCTGATGTCACTATTCTAGACATAGAAGCATTTTAAGAATAAAGACAAGCAAATTGGTTTTAAGCATAAAAGTCTAGCATGACGTTTGAACTGAAGCTATTTAGAATGCAGGAGGTTTTGTGTGAAGTTGTGAGCTTCTGGAATGTCAATCCCTTGGACGCAATCCAAACTGGGATTGTTACTCATTTACTCTTTTCCTTATACATAGTGCGGGGGTCGGACGCACAGGGGTGTTCATCACATTGAGTATTGTACTGGAGCGTATGCGCTATGAAGGGGTAGTTGACATGTTCCAGACAGTGAAGACCCTGAGAACACAGCGACCAGCCATGGTGCAGACAGAGGTAAAGCTAATTGCCATGCTATTTCCTGCCTTAAAATGGAAGTGGGTGAAACATTCATTAGATGAAAGTGGAGTCTGCCTTCCTATATGAGAAAGCTAATTCTGAAAACAGGATAGTCTACTTACCTGCTAATTGACTGCTATTAGCCTTGTTTTTGTTTCCATAATGATATATATTTTTATTTACACACACACACACACACAGTTATATGGAACATGAAGTTTAGAATATAGATAGTAAGGTTAGTTTAAAAAAATGTTTCAATCAAACATTTGTAGTCTATTTTTTAAGCATATAAGAGGCACAATAAGAGAAGACAGCTGATTTCGCCAGTTATTCAGGTACAGGATAAAAAAAAGTTCTTGGAGCACTATGTGAACTATTACAAGAAACAGAAATAATCCCCCACCTTTTTCTGGCTGAAGACCTGCTAACTGAATAATACTTGGAAAATAGGACAAATATATAATTCGATTTTACTAATTTCAAATTTAATTACAATTGAATAATGCAGTTATTTTTTAGTCAGGTAGTTAATAGTTCCTATTATTCTGAAACTACCATTATGTAATAGTTAGAGGGCAATATGCCACCCATAGTCCACTAGAGTTGGATTTAAATTTAAATAAATAAAATACCCAAAGTTTCCAGGGATCAGATGATGCAGGAATGTTATCAAATAGTGCATGCTTCAAAGTAAATTTCTTCATATTCTGCACAAGACTGGAAAAAGATGCTGCATTCTTTAAAGAATCACCATTTTTCTTAATCTTGTGTTTGAAAAAAAGGATGCAGAACATGCCTTCCAAGTCCTTTTTGAAGCATTCACAAATCCCAAACTGACTTCATCACCTGAAAAGCTGGGACAAGAAATACGAACGGAATTTTTTTTAAAAAAAAAAATCTCCAGCAGATATCTTCAAGGGATCAACCAGCCCACTATAAGTTCATTGTGAAAGGCCACATGAATAATATTGCATTGTGAATAATTTAATGATATCCAATCAGCCTGCCAGACCTAAAGGACAGCCGGAGCCCCAGAAACCAGTCAAGTACTTTTCCCCTTTACAGGACAACAGCAAGAGAATCCAGTGTTTAGTCCAGAAAGATTAAACTGTTTTTTTGTAAGACAATTTGTATCTGATCTACACACCTTATTCCCAACTGCTACTCTTGATGTTGTCTATCAAGACAATCTTTCCTTTTCAATGGGTTGGATGGGAGAGAATAGATCTTCCAGTCTATATTTTATACCTCTTTAACAACTGTGTGCCAAAAAAGTACTGTAATTTAGTAGCAAATAAATGTTCATGTGAGGTGGTTAAGTGTAAACACAGCCACAAATTCTGCATAATTGCATTTTCTGTATTACCAAAGCAACCAATTGCTTGCCATTAAACTTACAGGTTCTACTGGGAATTAGCTCCCACCATAGTCTTATTGCTTGGCACTTTGAAGTGTGATATGTAAAAAGATGAGTCTGATATTTCTTTTCATTTGGCATAAGATCTAGCATCTGCTTGGTACTAGCTAAACACCTCATGTATTAATTTATTTATTTAATTAGCTACAGGGCTTATATGGCCACCTGTCTCATACAATGACTCTAGGTGACTTGCAGAAATCCATATAACATAGTTAAAACATAATTTCCTCCCAGGCACAAGACCAAACATCCTTAAGCTCAACCTTCTCATCTTGGCCCAAAGCTTGTGGGAAAAGACAGGTCTTCACCATCCACCTGAAGGCTAAAAGATATGGGGTTCTTCTTAATCTCCAGTGGGAGGTTTTTCCAAATAATTAGGTGGCCACCAAAGAGGTATGTTTCCATCAGATGGCAACATTTAAGGGAAGAGACATGGAGCAACCCACCATTCCTAATCTAGTACGATGGCAGGTACCCTTAGGGAGAGACAGTTCCACCTGTGCCATTAAAGGCGATACAGCATGTTAACTTGTACCCAGAAAGCAACTGGAAACCTGTGCAGCTGACACAGTATGGGGTTACTGGAGTGAACTTCATTCATTGTACTTCATTCTGGACTAGCTGCAGTTTCTGGATAGTCTTCAAAGCCAATCCCATATAAGCACATTGCAGTAATCAAAGGGAAGGTGACCAAGGCATGGGTGACTGTGAGCAAGGCCTCCCAGTCTAGAAATGGACACAACTGTGTCAGGTTGCAGTGCAGAGCAAGGCCTGTAATATGAAGTGCAGAGTAATACTTAATACTTATCTATTCTTAATTTCTGAACTATGATGTAATAGAACAGTTGATAGCTACCTTTACAACTGAGCACTGATTTTTATTTTTCTCCCTTTTCCAGGACCAGTATCAACTGTGTTATCGGGCTGCTCTGGAGTATCTTGGCAGCTTTGATCACTATGCAACGTAACTAATGCTTTCAACAGGTTGCAGCAGGAATGTCTAAGTGCAGAGACGGGTTCTTCCCAGCCAGCCGCCTATTTGTTAGTCCTTCTGTGCAGATGCTGCTGTTGCAGCAACAGCCTCCCCATTGACCAACCAGTTTTGACCACAGTATTTAGGTACATTGCCACCATGCTAAAAATGGGACCATCTAACATTTCCAAGCACCAGATGGATTTAGGTTAATACCTACACTCCTTTTCCTCCTCCTCCTCCCTCCACCACCCCTGATAACATTTCATGGTGAGGGTCACTAGGTGGAAGGGACAAAAATTTTTATATATGTAAAATAGTTAACTAGCCTTTTATATCTTTTCTTTTTTAAAAAATTCTTTTGCAAGTCTTAATGTTTTGCTCAGGCAAAACAGGAGAATAGAGGTGGTGGGGTTTTAATTTTCCTTTGTCTTCTCGCTTCCCCCCCCCCCTTATGTTGTCTCAACCATAGTGGCGCTGCCCATTTTCGGGCACTCCCAGGTTAATATTAGCACCTGGCTCATAGCTCTGGGATCCTCCAACTCCCTCTTCAGTCCTTTGTAGAATATTCATTTCCACAGAGTTGGAGCCAACCTAATGATTACTTCTGAAGTTTTTTTTTTTTTTCCATAGGCTTGTCTTGTCAGATGAGGCTCTAGCTAGATCAGATGCTTGATCCTATTGACATGTGTCCAGTGACCTCATATATTTCAACAGATTCCATGTAAACTTTCTAATGGAAAGAGAGACCCACTGCCCTCAGAGCTTGTCTTGTTGAGATGGGAGGAAATGTGGCATTGTTGCCACAGTCAAGTTCTAAAAAGGGACCTCACCATAACATTCCTTTATTTAGTCCTTTTTGTGCCAATAGCATCCTGAAGTGTGGTTACATAGAAAATGTGGCCAACAAAGAGTATCAGAGTATTTTCCAAGGTAAAATAGCACAACTCCGGAAGGCCAGCCTTCCTGCACAAACAGCTCCCAAATGGGGGTGCCTTGGTTATAGGAGGGGGAGAAGGATTGGGGGTTTTCAAATAAGGAAATCACTTCTTAGAGGCTGGGTTTGGGTCTAAATCTTGCTATCCTGTAAACATTTAAAAGTCATTAGAATGCTCTCATTTTCAACAATGTAAAGATGGTTTAATTAACCAATGTGGCAAGACTACTGGAATTAATTTAATGGTACTATATATTATTCCTCTTTATTAACTTACACTTGCACTAAAGGCAGAAAGATTACAGCCTTCTCCCAGGTGCATAGCTCTAAAAATAAAGGTGGTGGAAAGGTCTCTAACTGTATTATCCAATGTATCCAAACTGCATTGAAATCAACAATCCTGGGTGGTGATGTTGGAGAGAACATTCATTTTTACCTTGTGATAGCATAGTGCTGTAGGGGTCACTGTTGTATACAGTCTGTTTTCTATTTGTTAATAAAGTTCTACAGCATCATTGCATAATTCTTGATGTTAATAAATTTGAATAATCAGGTTTCCTACATATTTGTTATGCTGTCTTTTATTTGGAAATAAGTAAAAAGATAAAACTCTCAGGAAGGAGCTCTCCAAAACTGTAGTTGTGGGAGAATTAATTGGACCTGTTCTTATAATACAAACACGAACAAAAAAGATTAATTATTGGGCTGTTTCCAGAAAAAAACATCCTTTCTCTCTCCTAGACAAAATCCTTTACATATATATTAACCTACCACAAGGTTGTAATCAGTGCATATCACTTAAATGCACAGAATCCATGCAGATGAGGAACTTTTTCAGTAAAACCCAATCTAAGAAAGTGAGCTAAAAACAGAAGAGTTGGGACATTCAAATACCACAAGAATCCACCGACACTGCAAAAATACTGATTTGAAACAGATTTGTTATGCTTGCAAAATTTCTAAAAAAGCTACTTAATGATTTTGAGACTTGAGTAGTTAAGTACTTAATTTCCTTATTGTTATATTTATGTAGTTGCCCTAGATTTGCTTTAGCAGGCATATGTACTTTAAATACATTTTTCATCTCCATTACCATTCATAATTACTAGTGCCAACTTCAATCAGAACTCATAATCCTGAAATTTATGAAATAAATCTATATTGTTTAGAATCTGAGTATTTACAGAATTTATTTTTCTGATCCCAGTATATCCATGATTAGCCCTCTCCCCCACTCCCCAAATCTAGAATAAAGTTATAAAGATTAGAGGCTCCTGATTCCTAAGGTTAGGTTTAGGTTTAACTTTCAAAATTACAAAGCAACTGGGAATCAGCTTACCACTGGAAATCCCACCTGTACTATAAAAGACGAGTTGCATTCATCCTTTGGAATTTGCTTCCCAGGGAAGCACTGTTGACACTGCCTTTGATCGCTTTTGAAGGCCTCTATCTTTAATATACTAGAATCTACCATTTCTCTTGGTTCAAAGTCCACACAAGTACACAGCTTGTCAAGTGTTACCTACCAAAAGTGGGTGGGGCTGAAATTGTTGCTTCTACCCACTCAGAAGGACAAAAAGATTGCCTGGTCTAAATCAATGTTTTTGATCTGTTTTTTAAGTTCCCTTTTGTTTTGATTTGCTGTTTTGTAAATAATTCTGAGAAGTATCCTTTAAAACAGCATATAAATGTTTGTTTTTTAAACCAAAGGGAGAAATTTCTTTTCATAATTTTGATTTTTCAAGCAGCGTTGTGTCCTAACAATATTTCAGCAACGTTTTCTAATTTCTTTTCTAGTAAACTATCTTAATAGATCCAAAGAGTCTGTGATCAGACTTTTTGTAAAAAATAGCCATATTTCTTTCACTATTGTTTTTTTTTTGTTCAGTTTATATTTTTATTTGTATCCTACTATTATATTTTCCCAGGTTTCTGAGTAAAGAGATTAAAACTAAAAATGTTATTTCAAGAGAAATAGTGGCTTGAATTAGTTATAATGAGAACAAATCTAGCATGGAGGTGGCCCATGGGCCAGATGCATCACGCACAGGCCACGCATATCCCAGCTCCACGAATAGGAAAACCATTGCACAACATCACATGATGCAGCGAGTTTGATACCCGTGTTCTAGCATCTTGAAGGCTAGCAACATTTTCACAAAACTATTTGTAAATCATAATCCCCTTCATCAGACAAAGTCTTGTGAATAAAGAAGCACTGCATAGACATAGAGTTGAATGAAAGAGAAATAGACAATGATGAGAAGATGAGAAAGGTTTCCATGCACAAAATAAGCATGAGATAGACTCCTATTTAATACACAGTTAACATATCTCTTTGTTTGATCTGTTGAGAAATTGCATCAAAACTATTAACTCCAGCTCATTTGTTTTATGACAAAATTAATCCCCATAATTTCTCTAGAATTGCTATTGAAATTTGAGATAAAGTGGCCTAGGAACTTTTGAAATGTTCTCCCAATAGCTTTGGGCTATTGCCTTTCCTTTTGTATCGCTTCCTTTTGCATAAATATTGAGTAGTGTACAGGGCAAGAGACAATGATAACGTATATTGGAGAATGAGCAAGTATTTGCATCTCTGAAAGTGTGAGTAGCATTATTTGGTCCTACATATTGACAGCATAGGTCCAAAGGAAGGACTGGTATTCGGTTCAGCCACAAGGTTTGGGTGTCATGCCTGCATAAATGTGCATGTGATATTTTCATTTCCTAATAGCTGTTTAAAAGCAAAGGCTACTTTGCTTTCTTATACATAAGGAATATCTAGTAACAACTGTGCAAGTATGTAATCTCTCACAGGACTATACTGCTTGCATCTGATTAAATAGACCATGCCACAAAGTTTATGCAAAAGTAAATTGGTTAATTTTTGAAGTGTCACAAAACACTTTGGTTATTGTTGTAGGAATATATAAAAAAGCTATTTCTCTGAAAACTAATTACAACCATTTTTTCTTTACTCTTTTACTATAATTTACATTGGAGCTTCTTCACTTGATACAGAACATTTGCATAGGTAGTTTTCTATGGAAAACACCACTTTTCTGTTGGATCAAGGCTGTCACCAAGATGGAGGCTATGTTGTGAGGGCCTATCCTCAACTATTATTATTAAGCAGAATATTTCAGAGCCAGAGCAAGCAGAGTGTGTGTTTAAGCCATACGTAATTTTTTTTAAAGATGACTTATTATCTAGCATATTTTTTACAAGCACACTGCATACATGATAATAGAAGTATGTTGAAGAAACAAAACACTTTGCAGATCAGTTCTCCACTCTACAATGTCAAATAAATGCCATAGTTGTGCAGCACTTTAGGTTTGATTTCAAAAACGTGTTTCAGTACGTCAGCATCTGTTTATAGCTTTTTGAAGCAGCCACAGAACTGCACCAATGCAAAAGAAGAGGTGGCTCTATTAAAGAGTCTGAAGCTACATTTATTTCACAAACCAAGGCATCATTTTGGGGTAGACCAGGAAATGTTGCATGGCTCTATCAAATGCCAAGCAATATAAGCAGTAAGCAATGACTTCACTAGTAGCCATTTGTTATGCCTGCTGTTTTATTTATAGAACTGGCAGCAGCAGAACTGTCAACAATAATGGCATCACGGTCTTGACATAATTCTTGTAGTTTGTGGGTCTGTTGATAAAATATTTGTCTTCATCTAGGTACAAAAGTTATTTTATGGGAAGTAAAAAGTTAAAAAGCAAATAGCAAATTGTCTACCAGGCCATAGTCCAAGATTCCATAAGGTCAACTGAATTTTACATATTCAGCATTTGCTACTTAGAATAACCTTTCTTGCTTTCAGGTTGTGCAAAATGAATAAAAGTTACCTCCCTGGTTTTCCTGCTAAGCAAATATAATTCAGAAATGCACTGCACGAAAAGATGAACTATCCTCATAAACTAGAAAAGTTTTGAAACTGGTCCCTGAACAAAGCATGGGACATGGGGAATGCTAGAACATGCAAAGAATAACGCTAAAACATGCAAAGTGATAGCATCCCTCTTTCACAAAGTCTAAAGTTTGGTAAGAAGAATTTAACCATATTTAGCTACTTCAGGAACTGAGAGGAACAAAGATTCTCATTTATAGTAGTAGTAGTATGAGGAATGGACCTACCTACCAGAAAGGTTTCATCCCTTTAATTTTCTAGAGGTTCCTCATGATCTAGTTCTGTCAGCAGGCCTGGGAACTCTGGGGATCGGTGAAATATTGAGATGGTCCTCTCTAATTAACATCTGTTCTTTGTCCAATCACTTTTTAATTCTATTTTAATTTTGTGCTTTTTTATCATTTTAAAGTTTTTGATATCAATATCAGTTTTAACTATTGTTTTGAATTTTGTTGCATGCTGCTCAAAGCCATTTGATTGTGAGATAGGCAGCTATATAAATACAACAAAGGAATAAATAAACAGCTCATAGAAATAGCACTTACTTATATACCGCTTCATAGTGCTTTACAGCACATTCCAAGGAGAAGAGTTTCACGTTGTTATGGCATTCTGCAAAGCAGTTAGAACCTGGTTTTTTCAGAGGGCCTTTGCCATCAATCTGATACTTCGGTTTATGCATAGATAATGTTTTCTTTTATTATTATTATACATACTATAAACTATCTAGAATCCAAATGAATTGAGATGATACATACAGTTCACATGTAAAATAACACTTGTATCTTTTAAAAATCATTTGATAGCCAAACTAAGACAATAGTCACATAGCCACAGTGGTGTATTAACCGTTAAGCAGACTAAGCACGTGCTGAGAGCACCAGGCCCAAAGGGGGCACCACAAAAACTTTTCTGTAGCCTAAGCTTTGTACAGTATATACAAAGGGGGGGGGGGGGGGCAAGATTTACCAGTGCTTAGGGCACCAGTGAGCCTTAATCCGCCACTGCCTAGCCATGTGAATGCGTGAAATTTCATATACTGTATTATAAATGAAATCTAAACAGGAAGTGAAGATGAGCAGTTGTGGATCACTAAGCTGCTGAGGGAAGGAAAGGATTTTATCCTTTTGTTCCTGCCCATCTTTTGTGCTAATCTGCACCAGAATTTCCACAGCCTTTGCTACTGGAAGAAAAATTCCCATTTCCATATGATTATTTCAGTAACAGCCAAAGCCTTTACTGTTTCCTTTGTAAAGGCAGCCCTTTAATTTAGAACTATTGCAGCCTCGTCTATTGCTGTTCAATTTTCTACAACTTCTACCACAATGGTGGGTCTTTGACCTCTCTTCTTCCCTTTCACTGTAGACTTTTAGTTCACTGGGCCACTTTATTTTTTGCACAGCATATAAGAAACATGCCCTCTGTTCTGTTAAATATTTGCAGTCATTTCACTAGTATGGGGTTTGTGGGGAATGACCTCAAACAGAATGAGCTAATTTTTGAACACCATTAGGATAGAGCATTATTGTTATTCAGGCTGTAGAAATGCTGCAGCCCATTAAAGGCTCCTACACAGAGTGGCATCCAAAACAATCACCTAGCTTGTGAATCCAATCAACTCTACCTCATTTTTTAAAAGAA